GGGGGGGGGGGGGCAGGGGGAGACTTTCTGCTTTTGAAACCTGGGCTTAAAACATCTTTTAAAGCTCTGTCTGTGGGGATTTGGGCTAGATGACAAGCTTCTCTGACTTTTAGATCGTGTCTTGTTTAATGTGTGTACTGTTTAACGTGACCTGGTTTAATTAGTTACAAATTCTTGACAACTTTTTACGTAGTCTAGTTTATTTACTCTTGTTATTGTAAATACTTGTTTGATATCCTGCTCTTCCTTTAGAGCTGAGCTACCTAGGTTTGCTTACGCCCATTTTGTGTATTTCCGTTCATTGATATTCCTTTACTTCTGTGCCATGCCTAGCTTTCAAGTTTGGTGTCAATATAATAATAGTTATTATCATTTATAGCTGCAGAATGTACATTTCTGACACTCCTACGCTTCCTAGCTGCTCTGCTTGGTGTGCAGCTGCAGTCTGTGGCAGCAGCCATGAATGTGGTCCTTCTTGTTCACCCCTCAGGTTATGATGATCTCACCCAGGGTGCTGCAGCGGGAGACTACAGCAAAGGGCCGTACGTTGCTGCCTCTCAAGCACAAAGCAAGTCATCTGGCAGTGGAGCAGGGAAAGGTAATTTGGGGGTGCCCTTTTCCCCTGGGGCCTCTTTGGGGAGTGTGGAACAGCAGCTCTGGATGTGCGGGCCTTGCAATTAAACGTTGCTCGTGGCTTCCCGTCTTTTGATAGGCAGCCATAAAACTCTCCACACCGAGGGCCAGAGCCACCAGTCCGCTCAAGGAGAGACTTAACGACCTTCAGAGGCTGGTCTGCTGAGCAGTCGAGGCAGCAAAAGAGGTGCCTGGAGGAGCTTTCTCCCCTTCCTGGCTGCCTCCCCTCTCGCTTCAGGAGGTGGGGGAGTGCTGAGAAGCACTCCCCTCAGTAATACTTTGGCATGGTGCTCTGAATTGCTCTAGAGGCGCAGTACTAGAGGTGTCCTGGGGACAAGGGCTTTTGTAACGCCTCCCCGTCGAATGTCTCAGGTGGCCCGTGTGGCATTAGGAAGGCTTGCAAACTGTCTCTTCCACCTCTTCTGGCTTTCCCCTCTGAGCCCCACTGCTTCTGGGCTCTGTCTTTGTGGCTGCCAAGATGGAGGAGCCCTGCCTCCTGCGGAGCAGCCAGGAGCAACCAGCAGAGCCTTTGGGATGGCCGGGCAGGGCCGTTGCACTTCAGGAGACCCTGGCTGGGACGTCGCCTTGGCAGGAAGAGGAAGGGGGTGTTTTCCACCTGGGCTGGGCAGTTGTCTCATCTCACACAAGACACCCCCCTGTTCTCCTTTTGGAAGGAAGAGGTTCCCGGGAAATTCATTTTGGGAGGCTGGAGAACGGGCTTAACAATTTTGGTGAGGTGGGAAGATGTAGGTGGAACAAAGAAACCACACGGGCGTAGTTGCATTATGGGGTGCAGCCGAAATTTTCCATTTCTTTTTGCAATCATTTATGGACTTGCTGTGTACAGGTTTTACTTGGTCTTTTTTTTTTTTTGGCTGCTTAAATATCTGTAGAGGGAGTCGCATAGCATTTTTTCATCTGTCTCCAGTGGTGTCTGCTCAGCCGGTCTGGACTGACAGGATGTGTGCTCTGGGCCCCTTCTATTCAACAGTGTCATCTAGTGCAAGGTTCCTCAACCTTGGCAACTTTAAGGCGGGTGGACTTCAACTCCCAGAATTCCCCAGCCAGCCTGGGGAATTAAAGTTGCCAAGGTTGAGGAACCCTGATCTAGTGGGACCCAGGAGATGCACTTTCTCAGTTTCCTGCCCTCCAAAATGAGATTCCCCCTGAGATTGGGTAGCTCCCACCTTGATGGCGTCCTGGAGGGCCTTGAAGACCTGCCTCTTCTCCCCGGCTCTGGGCTGACCGGATGTTTTCTATTCTATTTTGATTGCATACTGGTTACTCTGCCGTTATGCTGTGAGCTGTCCAGAGTTGGGTGGCATCTTAGTCACATAAAATGTGATAAATAATTTTTAAAAAAAACAGCAGGTGGTGCAAATACCCACTTGCACCAATCTAGCGTGGAGAGAACGGCCGTCTTTTTAAGAATTGGGCTTCTTTCCCACTTTGTATTTTTACACTGCAGTTAGGTTTGAGTACTCTGTGGACGAAAAGGCAGGGTATCAATTGCAGGAGTAATATATTTAAAATTCTCTCCAGAAGAAAGAAATGCAGCTTATTTTCTTAAGAGATGAAGGGAGGGGCCGGCAGTGCTGCGCTCAGGGGCCCGTGTGGCTCTTCCAGCAGAGGGGAAGCAGCGCTTGGAGCGTGTCAGAGCAGCGTAAGGTTGAAAGAACACTGTTGCTCCTCACTCTTCAAAGATGTGGAGATCCAGCAAGGAGAAGTGCTCTTGCCCGCCGGCTGTCTGCGTGCCTGACTGCCCCCCTCTCTGTTCCCCCCGCCCCAGGTGTTTCTGTGACCTCAAGTAACACAGGTGTGCCTGATATCAGTGGCTCTGTCTACAACAAAGCTCAGGTGAGTTCAGCACCTTCGTGCCCAGACTTGTTTCCTGTTTGGCTTTGTCATCAGGGGTGTCCCTGGGGAGGTTGGGGTCAAAAAAGTCAAGATGGCAGCTTCGGAGGTATGATTGACGCTCTGCCTGCTTTTTATCTGCATCGTCACAGCCACCATCTTGATCTTTTTGGCCACACCCTGTCATGGTGGCATTTTGACATCCCACCTCAGTCTCTTATGGGCTTTCTAAGCAGAGGACCAGGTGGCGGCCTGTCCTGACCTGAAGTGGACTTCTCTGGGCTTCCTGCCCTGGAAACCTCTGAGACTCTGAGTAGCTGTTTTTTCTCCAGCCCCACAGGTGCTAATGCTGCCCTCTGGGTTTTTCCTTCCACTGCTTCTATGGCATCACCATTCTTCAATACGTATAAATATTCAGCGAGTGACAGTGACAACAAAGCTTTGAAATTAGTGAATCAGATAAAACTGTAACCAAGGTCCTGTCAGGGCTAGTAGCAGGCTTTTCGCCCAGCCCAAAACTGAGAACAAAGTTGGCATCATGTACCTTCTTGGAAGGATTTCCCTGGGAGAATTGTCCTGCTCTTAAGCCCAGTTCTGGCCTTCAGAGAGCTCGGTGGAGGGAAATCTCCCCGCTTCCAGCAGCAGCACAAGCCCCTTGCTTTTGAAAAGGGTGCGTGTTTTGACTTGTGTTCCGCCTCTTCCTCCTTTGTCCAGACTTTCGACAAGCAGGGATTCCACGCTGGGACTCCGCCCCCGTTCAGCCTGCCATCGGCCCTCGGCTCCACGGGGCCCCTGAACCCGGGTGCTGCTCCTGGCTATGCTCCAGCGCCATTCCTCCATATCTTGCCTGCCCACCAGCAGCCCCATTCCCAGGTGCTGCATCATCACCTTCAGCAGGACGGGCAGGTGAGTCGCTGAACCCATCTTTGTCGTCTCTACGTTGGGTACGTTTTTAGCTCTGATTTTTTTTCTGGTCAAAATGGGTAAAGGGGTCAAATCATAGGTTATGGCAAGGAGTAAGAACTGTAATTTTGGAAAACTCAGAAACCACCTGCTCTGGGTTTGGGAGAAAATGCAACCTAAAATTATTCTAGTGTTTGCCCTTAGCTCAGGAGACAGGGAATCACAGGTTTTTACCACAGGCCGCCTGTGAAGAAGATCCCCCCCGTTCTTCTCTCAGTTCACTTAGAGATGGTACTGCCACCATCAGCTCCCCATCTGCAAATAGAGAGAAGGACCCGTTCTCCATCTCCTGGGGAGGCATGTGTCTCTGAAACGTTTGGAAAATGACAAACTCTGTACAGGTTAATGGGAACTCTCTTAACCAGTACTTCTGAAACCAAAAGTCACTTCTGAACCCAGGAGGGTGTGTGATCCAGGGCATCTGGGACATGCCATTGAAAATCCCAGGTCTGTTTAGAAAAATGTCAATTCTTACTTATCCGTTTCCATTCTACTCTTTTTTGTTTTTAATGAACTCTTTCCCCCCAAGCCATGTAAGAAATTGAGCATTTATTTTTAATGGAACAACTAGGGGGGAAAAGGTTGAAATGAACTTGATTTCATTTATACTTACATGCATCACATCACAATATTTGGCAGATTTTTCCACCTTTCTGGAGTGGCAATCCTATTCTCATTTACTTGGGAGTAAGCCCCATTTATCGGAACTAGCGGTGCATCTGTATATCGGACTGTGTTCTGAAAATGTCAGAGGGATCTGTTCTTCAACTGTCGTCTTTTTTGTAATTTGGCAGAATGTCCTTGAATCTTGCACAAATATACATCGGACCTTATTTTTCTGAAATTGCCTGCGTGTCACAGGCTGCTAAGGAGGCGACGCTATACAAACAGAGCTGGTATCTGCAGGAAAGCCCAGGCATCGGAAAAACGCTCTTTGTGGTTGGGGCGTGAGAACGGCCTTTCCATCCCGTGGCTGCTGCAGTGCAATCACGGGCGGACAGGGAGCTTTTTCTCCCCCTTCCAAAGATAAGGTCAGGGCATTTGTGAGGGAGGGAGAGAGAGAGAAGAGGCTGACCGGCTCAAGTCTCGCAGTGACCTCAAGCACCTTCCCCATGAATGTCCTGCTCTTTTGCTGCTCAGTGGAAGGGACCATGTTTTAGTGGCTAAGAGCAGCATGTGGTCCCTTGGAGTAGGGAGGTAGCTCACAGGGAAAACAATTAAGAGCTGAACCACCCTCCCCAAGCACCTTACAGTCTAAACACATGGGTGCCCGTGCAGAAGAATGCTCCTTAAATGGTGACTCAGCACGTTTTGAGGACAGGTCACTCCATCAGATTTTGGCCACAAGGGTGCGTGTAGACCTAGGTGGCTGTATGCTATGTTTCTAGGAGGAGGGTCAATCAGTTGAATCTTTATTACGATCAGAGACCAAAAGGACTGTAGGAGGAGGGGGTACGTGGCAGAAGAATAACATGCTTGGGGTTTTCTGGAGCGCCAGAGTGATCCCCCCCCCCAATCCAAGTGTGATGTGCCTGCCTGGAGCAGCTGGGCACAGATCTTCCAATTGTCTAGCGTGGTCCAACGTTGCTCCAGGGAACGCTAGTGCTGTCAGGACATCTTCAGTGAGAGCAGCCACCTTCCCCACAAGGAAGAACTGGATAGGTTTCAGGGTGCCCCCTTAATGGCACAGGATGATGCTCCACATGAACTGAAAATGCACCCTACAAGATGCCTAGCGTCACGCATGACTTCTGCGGTCAACCTGAGGAATCGCGGGGGACCTGAAGGCATTCTTGAGAGAGAACATCAGCGCATCATCTCGCTTTCAAAAGGCCCAGGGGCAGTTGGGGGGCGCACGGCACTAACACCTTGTCCCCGTGTTTCTCTGCAGGGTGGATCTGGTCAGCGCAGTCAGCCAAGCGCCCTGCAGCAGAAGTCTCAGGCTAAGAATGCCTACGGAACATCTCCGTACTGGACAAACTAAGCTTTGGCCCAGAGGAAGGGAAGGGAAGGGAGGCAGGCAGGCGTAGCAGCCCATGTCTTTCTCGGCCTCCTGCCCTCCACTGGAGAACATCGACTGGGGAGGGAAGAAGAGCCCCCCGGGAGAGCTCGGCCCAGACACCCTATGGGAAGAATCGGCAGCCACTCCCCTTGTTTGTGACTCTTCCTGATTTGCTGTTTTATGTAATATATTTATGTATGTATTTGTAAATGTAATAGAGCCAAACAGTGGTTTCTGCATGTTCTGAAGACTGTTTTATTTTCTTCCTTATAGGGAGTGCTAACCAGACAGCTCCCCTTTCAGCCCCCATGGCAGCTTTCTCTGAATTTTTGTATAGGTTTGAGGACTTTATAGATTGTCAAAAGCACAAAAGTGTGCCATTTTTTTAAGAAAAATATTTTGGACCCTGGAAGCTTCTTCTGACTTAAAAGCAGTACTTAGCTCAGGCAAAGGGTCAGAGTCACAAGAAGAACAGAGTTCTTGTCTGTTCCTTGGTTTTTTAAATATAATTTTGGTGTTTTCCAAAGGGCCCTGGTTCTTTTTGCCCCATTCCTGCCAGCCAGAAGGTTGAACAGTCGTGGGCAGCCTAGTTATAAATTGCAGTGTTGCACTTTTCTTTGGGACATTTAAGTAAATAAATAAGCTAAGGGTTAGTCTCTCTTCACTCCCACCTTCCGGTTTTGTTTGGGTTTTCGGTAGCCAGAGATTGGACTGTCAGCTTCTCCCCACACGGTGTCTGCCGGTCAGGAGCTCACTTTCCTTGGCTAGGGCTTGGCTCCGCCAGGACACCTCCTGCCTTCCATGGCCATGTTCTTCCTTCCCTCCTTTAGGAGGGGCACCAAGACTGAAGGGGTGTGTGTCAGAAAACTCCCCATCACCATAATGAAGGTTTTAGAAATTTCATTTATTTCTAGCCCAGACTCCCCGCTAATAAAGTTCTAAGCATATCAACAGTGCTTGCGGTCTCCGTTTTCAAAAGTTGCACTCACTGGCTTCGTTGGTTTGGTTATTCATATTTTACCTGTCTAAGGTTATCCAGCTCAGCAGCAACTCCAGGTGGCCCCAGGTGCCACTGCTAATGGTGAAGCAAAAGCTCTTTGCGTTTGGTAGAAACTAGCACGCGGACAACAGATGCTTTCTACTTCGCCAAGCTTGCTTCAGATACAGAAGAACGGTCTCTGTGGTGGGTCTCAGAACGTTCAGCATTAGCCTCTCTGGGACGCAGCAGAATCCTGTTGCTCTTGTTCCCGTTGCTGTTGGCTGGATGGAGACCCAGGACTTAGGAGCGCATTAAAGCACCGGGATTGTTTGCTTGGGAAGAATAGATCAGTTTCGCTGACAGACAGAACATTCAGTGCTTCCAGACAAGGAGGCCAAGCACCAAGAGCCTCCAGAAATGGCGGAAGACAATTCCTGCGGAAGATAGTTGGCAATTCAAGAACCAGCAAATCCATTATGGGATTTGGCTTGGGGTGGAAACCTTCTGGTTGCCTGAAAGCCACATTTTGCTGATGAGGCTTTTCAAGTAACAGACTGCAACAACAGATGCAGGGAGCTAACTTACGTTGGCTGGTGCATCGTCTGGACAATTGTTTTGCTTCAGAGACAACTAAGGTTGCAGTCCTGGAGGCTATGATTTGCAGCAGCACAGATCCCATCCCAATCGAACAGGCTGGGTTTGCGTGACACTTTGAGCCGGAAATAAGTAAGTGGTGCACGCAAACCCAGATGCTGCTTTTGCAACCAGCCTGATAAAGTACGTGGTGCCAAGAATCTTCATCTGCTACTCAGGAATGAGGCCCAAGCAGCAGACTCCTGCGGGGTTGGTTGCTCTTTGATCGGGCACATTTCCATGCCAGTAAGAATGAGAGGATGCTGGAGGGAGAATGGTTGGAAAGCCTCGGGGCTGAACACTCAAGCCCAAGAGTCAGCAATTGCTATTTTGTTTTGGAGAGCTCTTAACCCCACAGAAATCCACAGAACCTGCTTAAAAGGCTGTTAAATAACATGACGGACATTCGAAGTTCTTAGGGGGGCGTGCAGAAAGAATTTCTCAAGCCTTCTGCATGTGTGTATATATATGCACAGTTCACAAGCCTTCTGCAAGCCTTTTGACACAGAATTGGCTTTCTTGTCATGCGGTCATCTCTCCCCACTTAAGAGAAGCACAGGAAGTGGCCAGAACTGGTGCAACCTCCTTGAAGGAGAACGCTGGCATTAAAATGTCCATAGCCAAAAACACTGCTATGGATCAACTACCCTCCCTCCCATTTGGGTGGCAAACTTTCAAGCAAAGCATGCATGAATCCACATACACAGCTCTTCTGTTTGTGCAGCTAGGGCCATTTTGTGGCTGTTTCCATACAACCAAACTATTTCCAATGCAGGACCCAAACAACTGAGGAAGCCCAACAGGTGTATCAGCAGAAGCCTCACAGGGACAGAGACAGGGACTTCTTCAGAGCTTTAGCATGCTGGCAACTGAACATGGCTTTGGAACAGGCAACTAGCAAGAGGAGCTGTACTTTATTCCACATTTTATTAGTAGACAGATGTGCAGAAAAACCAAAACTAAAATTACCAAAGGAGAGACAACACAAAAGAAAACAGGCATTTGTTAACCTGGTCTAGGAAGTTGAATCAACCAAAGGGGTGGAAGAGGGTGAAAGAAGAAACATACCTAGAATTTCAGCACTGAAAAATTACTCATAGAATTCTAGTGCTCCCTGCTGGTTTCAGAATGGGTTAAGAACTGCATCTGATTTTTTTTTTCCTTTTTAAATCAGAAATGTAAACGCAGACAAAGGTAGAAGAGGAGAGAGAACCAGGCTACAGATGGCTCAAGTAAACATTTGTCCTCAATCTCTGAAGTTGCATTCAGCAGGTCAGTTGGATCCCATGAAAGGAAACCAGCAAGTCGCTAGGCCAGGCGGAGCGCCCACCTGCCGGAGGGGAGAGCCTGCGCTGGCGTGGGATGGGCGTTCCCCTCCCCCGCCCCCATAAAAACGTACGGCAAGGGAAGGACAGAGGTCTAATAATGCATCTCACACCACCAAGCTTGAGCGTACAAGCCACTGGAGAGTAGACAGTGAAAACGGTCAAAATACAAGGGAAAGACGCCGAAAGACACAGTATCCTCATTTCAAGCCAAGCCAAGGACACCAATTCGGGGTGGAGCACCCTCTGCCCCTCGAGGATTCCTACTCAAAGGCTGGCAGTCAAGATTTCCTGCTGGAGCAGCTCTGCTTGCAGCGGCTCCCGTTCTCTACTCCTACGCACTTTTTCAGAGTAAACTTTGTTTTTATGAGTTCCTCTTACCAGAGGGAATGAAAAAAAGATTGTCCAAAGCTGGGCCATTTGGAACAAAAAGTGACACATTTTGATTGTTCTGGTAACCCATTCCAGTCCGCTATTGTTGCCTCTTACAAGTTTCCATTTTCAAATTTGGGGCAATCCTAGCAGCTGAGGGAGATATCCTCCTCTTCCAGCAAGGGGGCCCACTGAGAGCTACACCTCCTTGCACCAGGAGGCCAGAGGCAAAATTGCAGGGCTTGCTCAGGCAGTGCGCTATACTAGGCCCTGGGAAGGTGAGCAACCACCCATGGTTCTTAAGCTCCACCTAACCTGAGAAGATTCCGGCTGCAGCTGGGAGTGAAAGCAGGACGCTCCCAGCTGTGATTCCAAGAGGTCCAAGAGCAGGGCTGGGAAAGCGGGTGGATGGGATGGAAGGCCATTGTTAGAAGGAGAAACACAACTGTTATGTGCATCTTCAACTATCCCAGCATAGTCTCTCTCCCTGTAATTTAATGAACGGAAAGGGAAGGGGGATCTGTCACAGGAGCACCCCAGAAACAGTAATCAAGTATTTGCTAGTTTCCCTTGAAACCTTCACTGTTGAAATGATCCTGAACGCCCCCTGCTCACCCCCAATTGAAAGCTTTTCAGGAACCCTTTATCCTGGCAGTTTGTCCCAGTGGAAGTGCAAAGGAGCCATAGCTTCTGCAGCATCAGGTCTACCACCCCAAAAAGAATACATGCAACTCACCCTGAAGACTCCCTGCCAGCTCCATGTTTCCAAATCCTGATGGCTCCTCCAGAATTCAGGACCTCTGATTCTGACCTCGCTTCCTTTAAGACAGATCAATGAATCTGGCTATTTCTCCCAGCACTTGTGTGATCTAAGAAATGCTTTTGGACCAGGATGCCATCTACCTGCACAGCCCTAGGAATGCCACCTTCCGAAGAACCTTTGGCATTCCACCCAGGGAAGACCAATCTGGCCATTCTGCTGCAGGTGACACATTGCAGATGTCTGAATGCAGAAAGCAGCAGGAAGGCTGGAGCTCCTGAAGGGAAACCATACGCCACAGCCAATCCTTGCCTCGTATTAAGAACCTGCAGAACCTGGCAGGCCAAGGAAGGGCTCACTGCAGTACAGGAGAGGCAGCCGCCATGTTTATGGGAAATCCGCAACTAACAGGGGTCAGTGGGACAGAAACGGTGTGTTTTGAAGTGTTTATTGGAAGATTCATATCACAAGACAACCGCCCTCTCCCCACCCCAATCTCCACTGATCTGCTTGGAGGCTTCTGCCCTCCTCCCAGGTGCTACTCCCACCCCCCACCCCCACACCAGCTTAGCAGAACTGAAATGGAGCACTGGACCTTTCAGCACCAGGTCTGGTCAAGCTCAACACACAGAAGCTTTTGCTCTCTGCCCACCGCCTTGGGGACAAAAACGAAAGGAGAAAAACCACCACCACCACCACCACCACCACAAGGCTAAACAAGTGTGCACACAAGGGCTGTCAAGGGAGCCGCGAAGCCTCCGGAAGGGGCTCCCTGCGTCTCCTGTCTAAACGCAGCTCGCGGGGAGCATTCCCACAGTCTCCGGCGTTAAATACATCAAACATCTTGATGAAAGACTGTGTTTAATTCAAGAATCTAAACACAGAGCAAGCCTGTTTTGCTGTACTGTGAACTCTCCTGAAGAGGGGGAGGAAAGTGAAGGAGGGAGGATCTGTCTTTTTAAAAAAGGGGGGAAAAATCAGAACACAGTGATGGGACGGGAAAGGAGGCGAGATCCGAGATCATCTGCGGAGGTCTTTCTTGCTAGGAGGCCAAAGAACCGGGGGGGTGGGGGATAAAATCGAGATCCGCACAACAGGAGAAAGCAGGAAACGCAGGTTTGGTTGGTATCTTTTCCCCACCCACCCCTTGTATATGTATATTTTTTGCTGAACGGTCACTGGATTACCGCTGCTCCCCTCTGGCAAAACTGGCAGGGCAGTACAGGAGCCAGAGGGAACAGGTCACGACTCCTCGTTGCCAGAATCATCGTCGTCGTAACAATCGGCATCTTCCTCCTCCTCCTCCTCATCTTCATCATCAATGTCGTCGTCATACAAGTCGTCATAAAGCAAATCTGAGCTGTTGTCATTGGAAGGCACTTTAGTTTTGATGCAGTACTCTGCCAACGTGGTGGGCACCTTCACGCCATCCTTTTCTGCTTCTGCCTTGGTGGCCTGGACTTGTTTCCTGCAAGGCACAGGAAGCGGCACCGTGGTTAGGGAGCAGGGCCTCCTCACCGACCTACCCTCTAACGACCACACTGTTCAATTTTGCCAGGGTACCCCAAAGTCTCCCTTGCCCCGCTGATGCAGGCCCCTTAGACCCTGCTCTCCCCACATCCGTAACGGCATCTGAGGTCCCAGCAAGTGCACAAGAAACCTCCTTCCTAATTCCAAGTAATACTGTTGGCCCAGCTGGCCAAACGCTCGATGGAGCTGGGCCTCCATGGCTGTGCTCTGCAGCCTTTAGTGCTCCAGGATCGGGAGAACAGAACTCTTTGGACTGAGGGGTCAGGTCACTACTGTGAAGGACACAGTTCAGGAGACTCAGAGGACAAGCCAAGTGTCTCTTCTCTGCCTCCAAGATACTTACATTCCTCCCTCCAGCCCATCAGGCACCACCAAAAGAGGAAGGTGTCAGCCCACTAGGGAGACCAGGCCAGGAAATCAACTCTACAGGAAAGCTAAAACTAGTCTTGCAGGTCTGACAGTACAATTCTTCTTCTTCTCCCTTCTTATACTCTAGTGAGCCAGGGAGGGGTCTGTTTCAGCTGCTTCCAAATGTTCACAGAATCACAGAATCCTGGGGTTGGAAGGGACCTTGGAGGTCTTCTAGTCCAACCCCCTGCCCAAGGCAGGAGTCCTCATACCATCGTGGACAGATGGTTGTCCAATCTTTTCTTGAAAACCTCCAGTGATGGAGCGCCCATGACTCCGGGAGGCCAGCTCTTCCACTGCTTAATAGTTCTCACTGTCAGGAAATTCCTCCTTATTTCCAGATTGGAGCTCCCTCTGATGAGCTTCCACCTATTGCTTCTTGTCCTATCCTCAGGTGCTATGGAGAATAAATCGACGTCCTCTTCCCTGTGGTAGCCCTTCAAGGATTGGAAGACTGCTATCTTGTCTCCCCTTAGCCTTCTCTTCATTAAGCTAAACATACTTAGTTCCTTTAGCCATTCTTCATAGGATTTAGCCTCCAGACCCCCATCATCTCTGTTGCTCTTCTCTACACTCTTTCTAGGGCCTCAGCCTCTCTTTTGTATTGTGGTGACCAAACTGGATACAATATTCCAAATGTGGCCTCACCAGTGCAGTGTAGAGCAGTACCATCACTTCCCTTAATCTTGATACGATCCCTCTGTTGATGCAGACCAGGACTGTGTTGGCTTTTTTGGCAGCTGCAGCACACGGCTGACTTATACTTAACCAAGACACCTAGATCCCTCTCATACACCCTACTGTTCAGCCAGGTACTGCCTATCCTGTACCTGTGCATCTGGTTTTCCCTGCCTAAGTACAGGGCCTTATTTTTCTCTCCACTGAGCTGCATCTTGTTGGATAGGGCCCAATGTTCAAGTCTGTCAAGATCCTTCTGAATCTTGGATCTATCTTCTGAAGTGTTAGCAATTCCTCCCAGCTTTGTGTCATCTGCAAATTTGATGAGTGCCCCTTCAATCCCCTCATCTCGGTCATTTATGAAGATGTTGAAGAGCACTGGGCCCAAGACAGAACGTTGAGGGACCCCACTGCATACCTCCCTGCATGTAGATGTAAGTTTCATTAATGACCACACACTGAGTGTGTTTGGTCAGCCAACTGCAAATCCATCTGGGAGTGGTACTGTCTGTCTCACATTGTTCCATCTACTTTATCAAATGCCTTACTAAAATCTAAGTATACTATATCCACAGCATTTCCTTGATCCACTAATTTAGTCCCTTTATAAAGGAAGGCAATAAGATTTGTTTGGCATGACCTGTTCTTAACAAACTCACGCTGGCTTCTAGTAATCACCTTGTTAATTTCTAAGTGCTCACAAACCCACTGCTTGATAATCTTTTCCAGGATTTTCCCAGGTATTGATGTCAAGCTGATTGGTCTGTAGTTTCCTGGATCTACTTTTCCCCCCTTTTTAAAGATTGGAACGTCAGCTCTTTTCCAGTCCTCTGGCAGCTCCCCCGTGCTCCAGGAGCTCTCAAAGGTTTCATTCAGTAGTTCCAAGATCACACCTGCCAGCTTCTTCAGTACCCTGGGGTATAAACCATCCATGTAAACATCCAACCATGTTACCTGGATGTTCTGCACTTAAAAACTACTTCAGCTCCTTTGGCCTAGGAGCCGGTTACTGCATATCCCCATCAAGGTCATCTTCCTTCTTCTCTACAGAAGGGTGAGCGTGGCATTCAGGTCCACTTAAGATAGCAAAGCCTCATCTGCTAGCTAGCTCTCCATGCAAGTATCAGAAGGGAAACGAATTAGGGTGGCTGCAACGTTGTTCAGCTTAAAGCTGACTATTTAGTATTTTAAGATTTTATGGTGATGCTTTTATGATGTGCTTTATTACTCTGAACTGCTTAGACATGTGTGACAGGCAGCATACAGATTCAATACAAGAAGGAAAAGGATTTCCCTTTCAGCCTCAGAGGCACCGGAATTCACTTGAATTAGGCAATTCCCAACAAGGATGGAAATTAAAAGCAAAACTACCAGCAGGTTGTTGCAGGTCTGGCAAAAGCATCTGAAGCCAGAGGAAAGAAGAGAAGGAGAGGTTTGAATTAGCCCTGATATGTTCTGGAAGACCGGGATGGCTTAGCAGCCCAGCTTACTTGGGCGAAAGCTTCTGGCCGAGTGTGATGGAATGATTTGGCGAAGGCCACGCTCGGGGAGATAAGCATTTCCTTAGCCCCCAGAAAGCGTGGGAAGGTGAAGAGGATGAGACTGGCACCGCCCTACAGAATTCGCAGTGTTTGCTTGCTGGCTTGGGAAGTTTAGATTCAGACTGGCAAGATTCTGTCTTGAGGGTGAAAGCTAATAAGTGCAACAGAACTGTATCTGTACCGTCTCGTGGAGTTCTTTGGGCTGAACCTGACACCGAGGCTCAGGGCGTGGGTGTCCAGAAGAGAGAAGAGCTGGCCTGGGAGGAGAGCCCAGCTCAGACTGTTTCAGGTGTATGCAGGGCCACATCACCTGGCAGGTTTAGGTGGGCGCTCCAGAGACAGACAGACCGACTGAACGAACGAACGGCCTCCCTTCTACATCAGCTGCTGCCTTCTTGGACTTACCGGATGATTTCCGCATATTCCTTGTCTTTCCCTTTGCTGTCTCTCCATTTCCTGAACATGACAGAAGCATCCACGTTTGCCGGAGAGAATGTGTTGGGCTCATTAAGCAAGGAGATTACACTCAGTAGGATAGTCCTGGAGAAAGCGAGAGGAGGAGAAATTGAATCAAGAGCTCAGCACACCCACTCTTATTGCACTTGCAGCCAAAGGGAGCAATGCTCGGGTAGGAACTTCCCCTTCCTAGGACAATCATAACCTAGGATCCACTAAGCCCCTGCCGCTAGCACTTTCACACATCGAGTAATTCAAACCTATGCAATTGGGTGTCCTTGCTCATTTGTTCTTCACACTTCTTTGAAAGCCTCTAACCCCCTTTTACAGGTAGTCCTTGTTGAACAACCACTCATTCAGCAACCATTCAAATTTATGACGGTGCTGAACGAAGGGGACTTACAATCGGTCCTCAGAGTTGCTGCCATTGCAGCATTCTCACAGTCACAAGATCGCAATTTGGGCACTTGGCAACTGGCTCACAATTATGGCATGGCAGCATCCCAGTCACGTAATTGCCGCTTGCAACATTCACTGCAGACTTCTGACGAGCAGAGTCAATGGGGAAGATGGCAGGAGGTCGCAAATGGCGATCACGTGACTCTGGGATGCTGCGACTGCACAGAATTTGCACAACAGTGGCAACTGGGACTGCTGCAACTGTTGTAAGTTGGCACAGTCATGTGATGTTGCACTTTAGGACCGCGTTGCTTAGCAATGAAGTTGCCAGTCCCAATTACTATCATTAAGCGAGGACTACCTGTACCCAAGCATTTTTTTTTTCCTTGTATACTGTTTCCAATTAAAAATCTCAAATCTAACTGAAATTATAATTACACACAGTCTTTGCTTAACGACCGTTTAATGACTGTCAGAAGTTACAAAGGCCTTGAAAAAAGTGCTTTACGACCTGTATTCACACTTATGACTGTCACAAACCGTTGCACCACCCCATGGTCATGTGATTGCGATTTGCAATCTTTTCATGATGGTCGTTAAGTGAATCATGTGGTTGTTAAGCGAATTCTGGTAAAAAAATGTCCACTGAGGAAGCTGGATTCGCTTGACCATGCAATTTGCTTAACTGTGGTGATTTGCTTAACTGTTGTAAAAATGGTTGTAAAATTGGGTCCAGTCACATGGTGACTCACTTAATGACTGCACAACAACCAATTTTCCAGTCCCTATTGTGGTCGTTAAACAAGGACTACCTGTAAAATTTTAAAATTAAAAATCTAGATTGTAGGCAAGGCAGTAAAAAGTTCAGCTAGGATGGTCATATTGATTTTATTTGGAATGAAATGGTGAGTGTGTGGGTTGCCTTATTTCTCCTCTTTTCCCAATAAACACCTTTTTGTATCTAGAGATTTGGCTCCATTGGTTTAATAGGGATGGTTCTCCCACATCCAAGTCTGTGCAGATACATAGCTACACACTGCACTTTCAGCTTGGGGTGGGAAGACCTGGTGCCCCTTTCTTTCTTGTTTTTCCTAGAGCTGGCCTGAAGGGAGAAGTCCTGGGTAGATGGGCTGAAATGTGCCCAGCTGGACAGACCAAGCCTGTCAGGAGGTTCCACCTGGCTGGTGGCAGGCTATCCAAACTATCTGTTGGTAGGAATCCTTGAAAGGAGCCATCTGCTAAGGGGAGGGGGTGTCTTCATGATTCTCCCTCTCAGGTAATTATTTTTCTTTTTTAATAACATGGCCTGTTGAAGTAAGATTGTCTTTTTCAAGACAAAAATTAAGCCCAAGTGAAATCTTAACTATCAACTTTGCAAAATTGCATTTTACTGTCAAGTTTTTAGAATCCCATTCCAACAGCCACAGCTCTCAGCTACTGAACCGTGTGCCAATCCCATTCAGCCAAGAAGGGAACTGTGTAAAATGGGTCAATTGTAATGCTTTGCAGCTTTCTCTCTCTGTTTTTAACAAATACCCTCAGTCTTTCTAAGCGAGCTTGGCATCTCTGAACCAGCAGGACCAGGATGAATTTCAAAGATGACTAGCGGGTTTTTTTCTGACTAGCAGGTTAGGGACTGCACACATGGGGGGATGGCAAAATTATCATTTTGGGCCTCCCAGGACTCTGCCACACTTAGGTAGAAATTCCCTACCTCAGAGGGTCTTACCTGACATTCTGGGTTGGGTTCCACCTTTCTGATGGCAGCTCTCCACTTTGAGGATCATCTACAGGTGGGTGAAGGATTGAAATACATACATCTCCATTCTACCGAAAGAAAAGTGAGTGGGCAACTAAGTTAAACCGTGCAGCAAATATACGACTCAAAATGACCCACCCCACCTCCGCCCCATTCTTTTGGCTATTTCATAAACATCTAGCTTAGACCTCTTTCCCTTTGAGCAATGTGCATCGATTTCTGTGTGTGCGCATGCACACACACGGTAACTTCTGGCTGTAAATCCCAACACATTTGATAGGCACCAAGTTGAGGAAGTCTGCCGTTCAGACATAGATGAGATGCAAAAAAAAAGGACTGGACCACGAGGGCTCAGCCAAACCATTCAGAGGAGCCTCTGCCCTCTCAAAGGCTCAGCACAACTGCTCCAAGAATCACTCAGTCCTCTGAGCATGGCCCCTCTGCTGGGACTCTTACACACGTACAAGGCATATTCACTTCTAAGGATCATGTACGTGGGTCAGGGGGGCGGGGGGGCTGCTTTGATGAGTATTCAGAACCCAAATAACTCCACCAGGGGGAGCCAGAGCTCTCCCTGAGAAGACACGGCTGCCAGCAGTGACTTAGAACTGGAGCTCCACCAACAGGTTCCCAAGATTCAAGGGCAAACTTCTCCCCATCTCCCTTGGCCAAGAGAAGATTAGAAAGGCTGCCCTTGGCTATGTTGTTGGGGGAAGAAGCTGTTGGCTGGCTGGCTGGCTGGCACCATGGGTTGTGCTGTGAAGTTTGCCAGCCTGCAGCACAATTTAAAGATATGCCACTGATGTTGCAGAATCAATCCCTTTTTAACCCTCAAAGCTTGATCCCCAGGACATGCTTGTTTTTTTCTTCTTGTGTTAAAGCTAAAGGACAGTTTCAAAACAGGACTGAGACTGGAATCAGGCTCTTCTCTCCCAGCCAGCACAGTTCCACATACCTGCTCAGAGGAGAGTTCCCCCCCCTAGGAATGAGACCCCAGAATCTGCTCCTTGGGCTGCAAGGGACTTGGGTGCCTCCCCTCCAAATTTCTGAAGGAAGGGTTGTAGAGCTGCAGGGGCCTCTGGTGATCCAGAGGGACCCTGACAAAGAGAGAGCATTGGCAAAGGAGTCTCCACCTCATTTGGTCTCCACATGTCCTTTTTCACGGCAGTGGAAAGAGAGAAGTCAAGAGCTGGGGTTACAAAGCATTCCACATGCAGTAGAATTCTAGCTCTGCAAGTGTTTTACACTTTTTTTTACACATCCATGCACTCAACCTCCTACCTCATAAATGTTGGGATGCCACATTTTGGTCAGAAATCTGAAGGTAGGTGGTGAATATGGGTAATCCATAGGAAATTTAATATGAGCCTGAAACAGAAAACAGGATCCACACTGAGCATTTGTTTAGCACAATTTTGCAACTCAACAGATGGGTGACTGGGTTTGCTTTTCCTTGCTCCTCACCCAGCACTGGCTGTGTTTACACAATACACTTGACCTGCTAAGGGAATTAACTCTTTCTCTGGGTTTGCACACTGCACTGGCTCATACCCAAACCAAACAAGCTGGATTCATACAACAGCTAAGCCACGGAAACCTTCCTGAAGCGTCTAATATTGTATGAACACAACTGTTGGATCTTTGCTTGAACAAGGCTCCTGAGGTCCCAGCAGAGAATTTTAACAATCTTCCGTGGGCTCCTAAAAATAAGCCGATACGTATTTTTGGGAACAGAATACAACCCCACTTAGCCATAAAGATCATGGGTTGATCTTCCACCAACCATCCTGTACTTGACACCCACTTCATGGGGTTGTAGTAAGAATAAAGAGAACTAGAGTGGACTGTTGGTTGGTTTCTTTGATCTGTATCATGCCTTTTCTCCAGGAGGACAAGACAACTTTCAAAGGGATCTCCATTTTATTCCTCAAGAATCCCCCTGGGAGGGAGGTTGGGCCCAAGTATCTCCATGAGTTTCCACAGCAGAGGGCCGGTTGAGTGTGGAGGACTCTGGTTCTAGCCCATCACTTTCATCATTGTACTACACTGGTGGTCAAGACTGTTATGGGTGGAAAAGATGGAATACAAATTCGATGAATCAAGTTCAGTGATGAACAGTGATAAATATTTTAAGCAAGTAAACAGTAAAGCTAGGTCAGAATGTTGTAAATTTGGTGAACTCTGAACACAGTATTTCATAATGTTACAAGCATTAAAATACTGTATTTACCCCAAAGGAAGACAAGTTTTTCCACAAAAAAAATCAAGGTGAAAATTATGTATTAGCTGAGAATACAGTAAAAAGAAAGACTCTGCCAAAAGTAAGAAAACGGGCAAGAAGTTGAAACAAGGAAGATGAGTAGATGCCCACTGCTCGCCCCCCTGACTGCCTGCAGTGGAAAGTCTCCATCTCTATCCTTTATTTGAGAATTTTGGAAAACTAGGATCCTCAGTCGGTGGAGAGTCCCCGTGGACAAGAAAGCTCTTCCTTAGAGATGCTCAGCCCCTGGAAGAATCGGCTTAGAATGCGGATGGAACTGGACCAGAACCCCTAGGCATACTTACCTGGGAACTTAACTGAGCCCAGGGGGGCTTATCTGCAGAGAAAGCAAGCTTGCAAAGCCCAGATACCTACAGTCTCTCTTTTTGCGTATGCATGCATATATTAGAGAGAGGAGTTTGTGAAAAAATTGTGTCCATGGGATACAAAGAGGTGCTTTATTTTAGGCAATTTTAATTTGTATGCATTTACACAATTAATGTTAATTTAACTTTGGTTCTGGTTCTGTCCCCTTTTGGAAAGTGGCTTCTCCCATGGGTGTGGGGGGGTGTGCACACACATGTACAAGTGTATCACATCTATACATCTGTGAGGGAAAATCTCTCTGACATTGGCTTCAGGGGGGGTCAGCAGGGAAGCTGAGCAATACGCAGGACCATCCTTCCCCTGTCTAACCTCCCTTGAACATGATCTGAAATGGAGGCTCCCCTGGGGGGTGGATTCCTATGTGAAGGGTACGGTGGCCCAATCCAGTGAGTTTATGGAGTCTGGAGAGTTCAGTGTGGTTTCCAGATACCTGCCTAGCGCCTCTTTCCCATCCCATCCCTTGAAGAACATCTCAGCTGCTGGGTGTGTGACCAACAGACCAGAAAGAGATCTCTAACCCACACGGCGAGCAGAGCAAAGGTTTGCATCTCCCATGTAAAAGCAGAAAAAACTGGCCTGATGTAGCAAGCAGACCAGATGCAGAAGTCTGTGAATCGCAAAGAAGGGTCTCTGCCATCAAAGCAGGAGAAATTGCAGCACGGTTTTGGGCTGCTGGAGAAAATGGGGCACTGGGAGGGAGAGCTCAGTAAGAAAGAAGCCAGCATCCCATTCTGCATTCACACAGCATTTGATTTGACCAAATATAGCTACCACTACCCAGAATTAATTTCAGAATGAGAGCTGCACTTTGCAAACAGGGATTTATCTCCAAGCAAGCAAGCAAGCAGGACCTTTCTTCCCACACACAGCAGCAAGTAACCAAGGTCAGAAATAGGTACAATGTGCTATAACTCAGCTCATCAGGGCTGACTCTAGTGCCAGCTCCAAGGGCCCATCTATTTCAGCAGCCTAAAAATTCCCTCCCTGAGGATTTAATGCATGGTTTTCTACCACCCTTTTTACTCAGCTGCTAACAATATGGAACTACTGCCCTTTCCACAACATCAAACAATTCTGCTATCTTCAGCAGCCTAAGTAAGTTCAATGAAAGTTACTATCAGACACCAATTTGAGGAACAGGCTGGCAAATTCAGCTAACAGTTGGGTGATATGGTACTCAAAGGCAACCCTAGTTCACATGATGCACTCCTGAATTACTATAGGTCCATTCTGGACAGAAGTCCTTTCACTGATTAATTTTGTTCCTGGAAGTTCATGTTGCTTGTGCTCTTCTGAATTACACAACAACGGTTTGGAAACTGACAGGAGGAAAACAGAAGTGAATACTGTCTGCTTTTATGATTTCAAAAAGACAAAGCTAGAAGGACCCCCGTTCTCCACCCAGTACGGAATGGGACACAGAACTCACTTCTCTTCCTAGAGCTGAACAAGCACTTTAAATCACTGGAAATTTATTTTCTTGCTGTTTTACAAACTGAGTTAAATATGAATCATTCAATTGTATAAGATAACATAAATGCTTACGTCAGAGGAGTTTTGATTTGATCATGGAACGTTTCTTGTTAGTTCCCCCTTTTCTTTTGCATGTAACATTGAGTAACAAAAAGAGTAACAAGGAGGGCAGAATCCACTGGAATAATCCAATATGAAAGGGCTTTAAGGAAAACCTTTTTTCAAACGTGGACCACTGAAAGACAATGTAAGGTAGTCCACCTTTGTCTCTGACTAGCCTTCGCTTAGCTTTTTCAAGCTCTTCTACTGAACCTCCTCACCGTGGACTGGAGATGCCCCAGCAATCAAATACAGAGAACGTGAGTGGACAATGACCTGTTCAGCTCACTCAACATGGAGGACTGCTGGACACGCATCAAAAAAGCTTCCAAAAGCCCAACTCCCCTTTATACCATGAGGAGATGGACCTGACTCCTCACTGCCACCATCTTGCAGTCAAACTGCCCATGGTTTGACCTGTGGGAAGAGAAGCAAGTCTTCCATCAGCACCGCCTGGGAAAAGGGACCCCTTTCCTCCTCCTCTCCCTCACTCTAACCTGGCACCCATGGCAAAAGAGGGGACTAGACCTCTCTGCTTGGCATGAAGTAACAGGAGAAACAGGGGAGAGAAATGACAGAGAACAATTCCTTTAATTTTCTGCTAGTTCCTGGCACCAAAGGAGATGTTCTCTACCCTACCTCTCTCCTCCCCTCACTTCTCATGGAGACAGAATCCTTCTTTGCTTTCTTGCTGAGGCAGAAGAGGGTTTGGAAATGTTGTCAGGACTTTTGCCAGCTCCAGCCCTGGATTATAGCACTATGGTGCTGCTGTGCAGAAGATCCTCTTGCCTGAAGCAGATTTAGCTTTTGGGATCACACCAGGAGTTCCAGAAACTATGGAGAGAAAGCTCTCCATCACCCAGAGTTCAGAAAGTGATGACCTGAGCATTTCATCCAGAGCAAAGATATTTATAATTAGCTGAATCCAAGTGGCCATTTCCTAAAATGACCATTCCAAAGAACCCAGTGCTGTCCAAGTTCTAGCTGAGAAGGTGAAAAAGTATCTCAGAAGGCACTGGCATAACATTTCTGGGTTGTCGCCAAGAAAACCACATGGATGGGTCCATGTAGTCAACAGCAGTCAACCTTAACTCAAAGGAGATTTTACCCTTACAGTATCTTGTTTACTAGGAGATGTCACAGTATCATGCTACAACACTGGTTCCTAATCTGTGAACTGATGATCCACAAAAGTACCAGAAGTAGTCCTGATATAGGTTAAAGTAAAATATATTTTGGGAGAGGAAGAGAAATCACATATGAATTCAACCTCTGAGCTTAAGCTGAAATCCTCAAACCATCCAACAATGCCATAGTTGACTTCTGAAATGCCTCAAAGCAAAACTATGATTTCACAACTGCATGGCCACTCAGCCACCTAAAATGAGAGCCTGCATGTGTGAAATACCCATCCCAAAGCAGTATGTTTTTGGAAGTGGCAGATGAAGCTGCCATGCAAGTAATGGCAGGGGCTGACAGAGCGAAGAAGTGAAATTTGTACAAGCTTGATCTTTCATGTGGAGAATTTCCTTTCCAGAACAGGCTGGATTTCCCAAGATGATTTTCTAACACCCAACAGTACCTCTGCATTTTCTGGATTCATCATCATCATCATCCAGTATTCGAGGGTACAGCTAGTTTGGCTGTACATAGCTAGGTCACCCGGCATCACTATATCACATAGTTTTCATGGGGGTCCGGAGGGGCCATTGGGGAAGAGGAACGTTGCTGGAGACCTGGCTTGGTCTATAGTATTCTTGCATGAGTTTATTTTGTTGCTAAGTATTATACATCTTGATTTTAATCACTGGGAGAGGTCACTGGAACTCTGGATTAAGTTCAGCCACATGCTGATCTCACAGGGGAGCAACAGAGATCCTGGGCAGTGTCTCCAACAGAGCTCTGGGTCACGCTGTAGGTGTGCTGGCTCTGTGGAACCTGGCTGAGAGGACTCCTTGGAAAGATCCATCAAAAGGAAATATTGTATCTAGCCATGGAAGATTATTTCAATATACAACTACTGCGTGAGATTATTGTATGCCCAGAGATGGAAAGATTCGCCACTACCCACTACGGAGGAATGGTTGGTGAAGTTGACAGATTTTGTTGAAATGGATAAATTGACTTCTTTGATTAGAGAAAAGTCACT